ACTTTACCCGACGGATTTTCGCAGTGTAAAGTTACTCTCGAATTTACTCTCGTGTATGCGATTTACAGTCGAGTAAAGTGTTGGTGAAACGCTCCAAGAAGTTACTGTCGAGTAAACATAATTCAAGCTAAAACTCTAAATTTACACACGAGGTAGTATGGACACTACTCTTTAATTATAATAAATGAAGTTTCTCTTTTAAATATAACCTACTTGAAAATGCAATATTTGTGGGCAGTTATTTTTAGTGTCCTCAACCCTCTCTCTGCCTTGCTCGACAGCTCTGAGCTTGTTGCAAACCGTGACGCCACAGTATATTTATTCAAATATAAAAGATGGTAGTAAAAATACTTTTAGGCGCGTAAGATCATTTGAATGAGTTTTCTGGTTTAAAATTAGGCAGTTATTTGTCACAACCGAAGATTGGCAGATGACAATATATTTGATGAAAAGGAACGAATCGCAGAAATATACAAGTAATGTAAACAACAATTTCGGCTGAAGGAAAGATTTTATATTATCTCCTTTTCAGTTACTACCATGAGCGAGACAAATATACTTTTTAGTCTTGTAGCTGATGCGGCATTTCAAAAAACGCGCCGAGACAACGGCGCGAAACAGCTTCTCCGAGGTTTGTGGGGGCGGCGTACCGGCAAAAGCGCCAGCCAGTGGGAGACGAGCGACAGCCGAGCAGCGAGGCTGTGCGGGGACCGGGAATAAAGCCGGGCACCGCCACCGGAGCAGCAGGCAATGTGGGCGAGAAGTCCGCCGTGTCTATGAGAGTATTTGAAGTTATCGGATACTGATGGTAACTTGGCATTGTGTTGGGATACACTTCTGGATTAACTGTCGACTGTGCTAGACATTGTACATCTCTTAGATTAACGTGACTTTGGTTTCGTTTCTGAATATTCTACTGTCAGTAAGAAATCTGCCTGTGCGCTGAACAAAATTTGATGATGTTACGTGGTATTTTCCAGGAAACAACACTTATTTCGTATCCTGTACAATATAAACATCTTCAAATAAATATTTTTTTTAAAAAAAACGACAATATGTATACATTCACTCTATTAAATAATTTGTTATAAATATTTTATATTTACAATTTCGGTGTTAACAGTAAAATATAAATATTGTCTTACGAAATTAATCAGGATACAATTCTTTACCCCTTTTTTCCTCTCTTTCAGTGACTTCCAATTTTTACACTTCAAATTTTTTTTCTTGCGCTTAAAAGAGGCTCAAAGACGAGAATAGTTCTTTGAATAGCCGGTCTGGATAACCGAAGTCGCTAAGGCCGAAGTGCGGTGGCTGCCTTGTCTTGAAGGGTCACAGGTTCGAATCCCGCCCAGGGCATGGACATTTGTGCAAGTCCGTAAGCGTGTTCCGCTTCCCATATCCGAAAGTTAAAAAAACAATTTTAAATTCGGATGGTCGAAAATATGCAGTACAAATTGGGATGAAATACTAGGATGGAATATTTTAGATTAAATATAAATGTTAAAAAAATAATTATAGCAAATTGAAATATTCGAAGGGGGCAATTAAATAGTCTTATCTCTAAAACCTCTGAAATACACAAATATTTTCCACAATTTCTCTCAATCAACAACTTTTAAAATAGTATGAGTTTGGAATCTGTGACTTATCACTGTAAATCATTTCAAAAATAAAAAATAAACTTTCCATTTCTACATTTGTTCGGTGCATGATTTAATTTGGGAGATAATTGGCAATTTACTAATTTGATAAACTTCGGACGTTACACCCCTTTATAATTTTAAGAATAATAATTAAGAGCGAGATCAGGGTAATCTTTTAAGGTTTCAATTGATGGAGTGGCTCATCAAATTTTGTGGCACTACAGATTTCTTGATTGTTATTTGAGACAATTGCTTATCGATAAGAGGCGTTAAAACAGCTTATGATGTTCCAAGAAAATAATTATATCACCTTAAAACGGCTACTACAAAACAAGTTTGTAAATGGCCAATATTATTTAAAAATTAAAAAAATCGGTAATTAACGGACGAATAGGCATTTTAGGCTCTATAAATCTGTTTGTTTGTAATGTCACCGTCTAGAAATGTGAGTACAACTAATCATGAGCGTACATGAAAAGAGAAAAGAAAGCCATTTGCCTTCAGGTCTATCAGCAAAGCCAGAAACCGTCGGGCTACCGTGAGAGGAACAGAGCGACAAGCGCCGGCCGGAGCGCCCTAAAAGCGCGGCGCACCTAAGCAGCCCTGACAAATGTGTCTGAATAAAGGCATTATGAAGGGCCTCCTCTGCAGCAGGGGATAATTCATAAAATGGCATTTTATGACACACATATGCCGCCCTCCCTGCGGGTCGTCATACTATCAACGTTTCGTTGCTAACTGTAGAACTGCTTTTGAAATTTGTTTCCAAAATTACTAATGAATATTTTATAAATCTATAATGCTGTTATAAAACTAGGGGTGCTAAAAATAGCACGACCTTTTCATTTTTAGTGACGGTTTTGTAATACTATTTACAGCACAATTGCTCTCCAAATTAACACATTTCGGTCATCATTTTTTGTAAAACTTATTTGAAATCTTAGAACATTTGGAGTGAAAATGAAATAGTTCCAAACAGATACTTTAGATTAGTATAGATTTTGTATTCAAACTTTAAATAAAAATATTTTTCTGGCATCGAATTCGTTGTATAAGGCGAGCATAATCATAACCGAAGAGTTGTTTTGCATTATTTTGCAAAGAAAGACGTATGCGATAAAGTAAAATAATTAAAAAAATAATAAATAATACGATGCTGATAGCGTTGGCAAACAAATTGAAATAGATGGAAAATATATATAATAGTAACTATTAAACACATTGTATTGTCATTCTCCAAATTCTCGTTTTAACACGCATTACACGTTACTCCTTGTCTGAACATGCGATGCTAAATTCTTTGTGCGTTTTAACACCTAAGAAAATTTCCTCAAATTGTCTTTACTAATGCTACTGGTAGTAAACCAGTACTGTATTCAGAACTCAACTTGTAATGGTTATGGTTGGGACACCACCTTCAACAATGAACGGTGAGAGTCTCTGCAGTGGCAGATTTCTGTATTAGTTATCCAAGTGGTATTTAGCCGCTATCTGTAGGAAAATGCTGTTCTCTACACTACAACACAAGTCGGGAGAGCAGTCGGGTGCTTAGAGCTTATCGCGGCTGGGGTGGCGCCCCGCTGGGGGAGATATCTCGAGGGCGCCGCCAGCAGAAGTCTACGCCGGGAGGACGAGTAATCGCAGTCCTCCTCCCCACACACGGGAAACCGCAATGAGTGCTAAAGTATCTGTACCTGGGCGATGGTGAGCGTGAGCTGCGCCTCGGCGACGCGCCGGCCGATGCAGGAGCGGCTGCCCAGCGCGAACGGGATGGACGCGAAGGGCGCCGCCACGCCCGCGTACGCCCCGGACCCGTCCCGCGCCCACCGCGCGGGCCAGAACCTCTCCGCCTCGGCGAAATTCTTTTCGTCCCGCCCACTAGTGTACAGGGACAGTATCACCAGCGTCTGCAAACACAATTTCTTCGTTCGTTCTGTTTTTGCAACATCACCACATGAACCTGCAAACGTTTTTCGGACCAGCATTTTTTTCCACGTCGGGATTCGAACTCATGTACTCCGAGTGAACAGACTAAGCACTACACCATACCATATGCCAGGAATATTCACTTTTTCCGACGCCTAAAAACTGAATGTCTCTCCCATTATTGCGAGCTTAAACAATTTCCGAAAATTCGGGACTTAAAAAAGGCACAGTTCTCATTTTCGAAGTGTCTTATCTCTAAGAGTGGAAAATGATGAAAGAAAAAGTCTGAAGCAGTTTCTGAGATAACTTTTATGAATTACATTAACTTCAAGCCAAAAGAACGCGAAAACATGCTAATTTTTTTCAAAAAAAGTGTACAAGACTTTTTTAAAGTTCTGATTTTTGGAATTAATTTAATTTAAGACAAAAAATATAAATCTTCAATATGTTATTTTTTGCAATTTTCAAAAATGCAGAAAATCTGCTAAAAATGCAACCAGCACCGTTTTTTTAACTGTCCTTACGAGGATTTTTATAAAAAAATTAGTCACTTTTGAGAAAATAATTGTTTACAGATCTCTTGTATTTGACGTGCAAATTACACGAAAACTACTCGTATATTCAAAAAATTGCTCATTACCTTATTTTAATATCTATCCTTAACAAATCTGTTGAGGAGAAATATCTTCAATATTGTTATTGTAAGAAGACGCCGAAAAAATTAAACTTTTGCAATTTTCGAAAAATTCGTGATTTCAACAAAAATGACACCGACGCCTTTCTCGTATGCGTCGTTTACGTTAACCGGGGACAAAATTTTGTAAAAATCTGGAGCCATTTTTTGAGAGAATTTCGAATTTTTGTGGACGTTCAGAGCGATCGAGGAATATCAGTTTTGGAAAAAATCGTCTGATTTTCTGAAAATTGTCAGGTTATGTGGTAGCGTTGTTAAGGGACATGAATAGATATATTCATGAATAGAATTTTCATTATCAGAGTCCCTAAAAATATTTTTTGTTACAACCCAATATGTTAGAGGAAGTAATTTATTACATAGGAACAATGTTATTCACTAACTCTTACTGCCGGGCCAAGGCCCGTTAAGGAAATTTAAATATGGGCAGGGCAAGTTAAATATTCTTACAGTCAACTCACCCCTGCATCTATTTTATAGCCAGCCAGCTCACATTCTTCAGGTAAGTACCGTGATAGAAATATAGCCACTGGATACAGTCTTAATGTTTCTCGCAATGTCCATTTTGCAAGGGGTAACTCTGACAGTTCTTTGGCACTGTTGACAAGTAAAGATTGTTCGTATAGTTCATCCTGAAGTTGGGGATTTCGTGCCAACTCGTACAGTGCCCACTGAAGTGTGTATACTGTCTGAAAATTAGAACAAAATGTAACTGTGGTAATGAAACACAAGTTTCCTTTCCGTAAAACCGTACGACATACATACTTACAATATCATAAACCATTATTTTGCTATTAACAAGCCATTATTTAGAAGTTATATCTCATACACTAGTTTTCCATAAAAATTCACTTACTGTATCTCCAGCAGCTAATATGAAATCAGCTACTATTCGTTGTATAATTTTGAGATCTAGTCCTTCAGCCAACATTCTACTCAGTAGTCCACTTCCATTTAAGTGCCTCAGAGACAGTAAATTTTCGACAAAAGCATTGGCTGTTGACAAAAGACGTCGTTATATTACATAACACGTTTTTGGATGAAAAGTAAAAAATATATTTCTGAAATAATATAAATAAAAATAGTAATAATAAATGACATTTCAACAGTTCCACGAATTGACAGGACCAATGAATCCAACCGGATCTCCTGGTCTCTAACCACTTGAGCTACCAAAACAGTTGACGAGATTATCATTTAGGAGTTAAAGGGACCGCGCGAAGGTTATACATTTCTACTTTTCACTTTCCCGTATACGTACGTATATACGGTGTAATATAGATGTAGATATGGGTGTAGTATAGATGTACATTTGCTAGTAGGAAAAGTTATGTACTGCTGCGGATAATCTATTTTAAGATTTCTACGGAAATACAGGTTTTGGGGTGCCGTGATATCGAAGAAGTTGTTGGTTGTTTGTTTTTTTTCAAAACGTCCGTCCGCCCGTCCATCATCTGAACACTACTAGCGCTTAAACCATACGATTTTGAAAAACATTCTTGTTTGTTGAATGTTTGGGGGTATTTTACATGAAGCAAAGTTTGGGGGTATTTACCTTCCGGCACCCTGAAATTAAGCGAAATGTCATAGCGTACCATGATCTCTCGCTTGGCACCTAGAGAGAGACCTTGCTCCGTCAACATTGTGTTGCTGGTTGCGTCGGCCACACTCCCATACTTGGAAATCATCGTAGTGCCCCTAGTCAAGCGAAGTAAGAAAGAAATATGTGATCTCACACGCCTCAGGAGAACAGTCGAAGACATTTTCCATACATAGCACTGGTCTAAAGACAGCAAGAATTACGATTCCCACTCGTAACTAATAGGCTGAGGACAGAGAGCGCATTTTTTTCAATACTTTTAAGATGTTTCTACATTTTTTATTATGTTTCTAATTTTTATTTTTCCGGCACTTTAACATTTTAATTTATTTACCTCGACTATTTTTATTTCACTTCACTTGAGAATAGTATATTTGTTATTTCATATAATATTGACTCAAAACTATGTTCCCACTTTCACACACATTTTGTGTTCCAATCTTCCTAATTTTCTTAACTTCTAATTTTTTAATATTCCGTGAGATTATACATTATTTGCAAATTGGAAATTATTTCGTGTAGTTCTGAAGAAAGCCGCAATGCGACCGAAAACTTTATACAAAAATAAAAAAAAAACATACGACAGAACTACGCTTCAAATCTATTACTAAGATAATTTTTTATTCAAAATGTTTTGGTCGAATGTGTCATAATACAGATTATGTAAAACGACACAGACTAAACTCAGCTCATTCTGGGATATGTTTTCATTCATTTTAATCATTATTCGAAAATATTGATACGGAGTACAGCGAAAGCTGCGCGAGAAAACTGCCAATTTTCGGCAGAAAAACTCTTATTACAGGACCATGGTAACGAAAAAATGGATAAATACAGTTGCTAAATTTAGAAAGAAAATCCTCTAACACGTGGTGTAGAGGTGTGTAGCCAGAATCTCTGTCTGTGACAAAATGCTAACCGTTCAGGCGATTTTCTCCAAAATCGATATTCCTTAAACAATATGGCTGACGTAACGGCCCCTGGAATTTGAAACCGATATTTTAATTGTGTGTGGGGGGATCTTTACATGAATACCCTGGAACATTTTTAAAAAAATGTGTTTAAAAGGAGGCTCCATCGATTTTGATTACTTGTTTCCGTTAGATAGTGTGAAGGACGTTTAAGAGAAAGGTGTAGGTCTCATGTTCGTTAAAAATAACCAATTTTCCGAAAATTGCAAAAGTTCCTTTTTTCGAAATATTTCTACAATTAAAATATTAAAGATAAGAGTTTTTCCCTTAATGAAATCTGTTCCTTGAAGATAGATTTTGAAACAAGGTCATGTACAATTTTTCGAAAATTTGGGCGTGAAAATACAGGTGAGAAAGTACGAGCAGTTTCAGCACCACTATTTAATTAAAAGTTAGGTAAGAAATTAAAATTGGTAACTGAAAATTGGGGGATTGGGGGTTCCTCATCATCTCTTCCCCCGTGGATCCGCGCCTGAGTGCAACCGTTCACTTTCCATTTCTAGAGGAACTGTGAATCCAACTGAAGAAGGATTTACGGTACAAGTCATTTAATAGAAATAATTGTTATACCTTCTTTATCCTACTTCTCTTATTTGTTTGAAGTTGAGTGCACTTCATTTTGATAAAAGTGAAATTCGCTGCAACTCCTTATGCTATGAAGAAAAGTCACGAAAGGAGCTACAGAGTACTCTGTGACGACCGAGACTCAAGAAAGGAGACATCTCCACAAAATTGCCAGGGTATTTTGTGTGTGAATCCAAGAGAAAGCAGAAAGCTAAAAAAAATTGCGGAGGGCAATATCTGACAGCTCAGAAACTAAATTAAACCATAAGGAAAGAGAGTTCTTACATCTTTTTATGTTCTTCGTCAAACAGAAGAAAGAAACAATATTGGCCAAGAAGGACGATTGTGAACTTGAAGAGTGAAGACTGGTTTGTTTTCGTTATCAATAAGGAATCGGCGAAATTTTCAATTCCGCTTGTTCAGTCATGATATTCCATTTAAAACGGTGGAAATAATTCATTCCCCCCCGATTAGTAATTTCAACAAATTAATTTAAATCTTCGACAAGTTGAATCACTTGCAAGAAAATTAAAAGAATATTTACGTGGTACATCCAGAGGTTAAAATGCTATTTTGAGCACGTTAGTAAAAGATCTAGATGATACTTGCAAGCAAATTAAATTTATTATTAAGTCAGATCTATTTATATATATATATTATATATATATATAATAATATATAATATATATATTATATATATATATATATATATAAAGAAGTCGTGTTAGTTTACTCCACTTATAACTCAGAACGCTGAACCGATTTAGCTGAAAATTGGCAGGGGGTAGTTTAGAGCCAGGAAGAAGGAAAAGACAAGGATACTTTTTATCCCGTTCGACAGCATTCCCGTGTGACTTGACATGAAACGTCAGTCACAATAAACGTTGTATAACAAAAAAGAATCAGGACTTGGAATAACAAAACGCAAATGACAGCTATGTAATTGACGTATAATGTGAGATATGTAATGACGTATGGATGACAATTTTTTTACTTTTAAGAAATCAATAATAAAACTATTTCTCTATTAAATAATAACTTAACAATTATAATGTAATGATAGTGCCAGTGCTCATTCGTAAAAAAGTGAAGTGAACTATAAAACACCGGTATGGTTGAAAATATGAGTTTTTAGGTGAAGTGAAGTTTAATTAATAATGCCGCGACCAAGAACCGATCGAATGTTTTTCCGGACAAAGCCGTGATGCAAGAAGAATAGAAATACTGCAAATGAAAGGATGAAGAGAAACAAGAAAATTGCACGTGCCAGCGCCGCGATACGTATGGCTCGACTTCGTGCTTCTCATCATCAGAGAGCAAAGTGAAGCAGCCCGTGAAAAGCGTCGGGTTGCAATGCAGATCGTCGGAGCGAACACAGAGGTCAACAAATAGATAATTTGCGACGCCAGAACAAGATATTATTCAAGTGCTGATTTGAATCGGAGCAGCGTTTCAATACGATTGCAGCAATGATTACAGCTTGCATCCTAGCGTTTGCATTGGGCAAATGGACGTAGTTTGCGAGTATTGTGGTGGCATTAAAGTTTTCCGGAGAAACCCCCTGGATTTTGCTGCCTTAATGGTAAAGTGAAATTGCCATTGTTGACTCCGGCCACCTGAGCCATTGTATTCATTGCTTTGTGCGAACACCAAGCTCACGCGCAACTTTCGTTGTAAATACACAAAAATTACATGGTGTTGTCCAAGGAACGGTCATTTGGGCAGATATTATCGAGAACCTGGATTTATCCGACATTTAAGGTTATTATTTTTGTTATTATAGTAGTGTAGTTAAGGAATAATACTTTAGTCTAATTGGTACCTATGTAAGTATATTTGCCTAATTCTGAACTCTACTCACTCCGACCAAAAAAGGGTTTATAACACAGTTACTACTGTCTGTTTTTCATTTTGTAGGATACAAGGTCAGTATTCATTGCATCGAATTGGATCATTAACACCTTCGAAGATCATGCAGAATAAATTTTTTACCAAAATAATCCTCATGGCAACATGGAAGAACAACTTGATCGCACGCCTAGAGAATCAACTGCAGAAAAAAGCGCGGAATTTGGTTCACTGTGAACAGCCAAAAGTCTTGAAAGATCATGCGTTGTCAGGTTGTTGTTAAGGAGTGATTTAGCAGCGCATGCCAAGTGAATGACTTATAATAGTTGTCATCTAAAGCAGATTAAACGACATTGGAACACAACACCGAAAGGACATTTAATGCATCCACAGTAAGCGAGTGCCATCCCGCGGATTGTTGGGGAACAAGTTGTGAAAAACGCGATATTGTCGCTTACACGTCGCGATAATTGGGTCAACTGCATAACAAATATCTGAAACTCATCGGATCAATATGACACATTGCATTATACCCCGCGATTTGTTTTGGCAAGAGAAGATGGAATTATTTTAATATTAAATGAAAAATCTATTGAATTGGTGAGTATCAGTATTCTATATTCTATTTCATTTTATTTGTTTGAAAGACTGATTTAACGAATAATGCTATTAAAAAATGGTTAATTTCCTGTATTGTGTTGCCTTTAATATTTGCCTTTGAAGATTGGTTAATATCAAAATTTTTATTTTAATTTCAGTGAAGAAACTACAAAGAAGAGTTAGGCAAGAATTATTTACGCATATCGGTTTGATGATTCCGTCAAAATGCTTGACAACTATTTGATGCGGTTCGTCGATTGTTTCAGCAATTGCGTTGACACTGTATGTAAAAATACGAAACGGAACGTTTAACATTCATTTAGGTTGAACAAGCCAGACTGCGTTCTGAGGAGTACAATCCATTTACGTGATGCCAGTTTAGTAACTGAAGGAAACTTCAGCTAATTGGTCGA